GTGGATATTTTTAATTAGTGGTCGGTTGGACAGCCTTTAATTGTGTCTAACCACTGATTGATGTCCTGTAATTAACAAACGTGGTAGAAAAATTAGTCAAACCAACTCATTGTGTATGTCTTACTGCCAACATGCATCCCATAGCTGTACTATGTGTCATGTAAAATCCTTATTCTTCTCTTTTGCTTTTTTACAGATCTGCAGGATTCATGAGAACAACAACTTGTCTCCTTCAAGGATTTATAGCTTTCTTGGACAAACACAACAAGGAAAGAGCTGCCGGAGAGAAGACTCGGGACATAACCAAAGTTCATGATCAGGTCACATGGTTTGACTAAATTTGGTTTATATCTTACAAATAGGAACTCTTATACTAACTTCTGAAGATTGAACTCCTCCACTAAGACTCCTAGCTGGTTTGCTACAAACATTTGTAGAATGCTATTAAGTTGACTTTCGTGTGTTGATGTGTGTAATCATTATTTCAGCTAAGTTCCAAAAATACAAAGTTTTGTGATCTCAAATACATAGCCTTCAGGTAAATGTGAAATGAGTCTCCTGAAGGCCCTTATTGTTTTTCTTGAAGTTGTGAACAAACTCTTCAAGGAATATCTGGTAAGTAGCTCACACGCAATCTCAGACTATAGTCTTAGTATACACTAAAATATATTTTTGTGTTGCTGTTTATTGTAGACTTTTGTTTTCTATACCAAAGAAATTGACAACAGCTTTTTGTGTATTATTTTTAAACTGGTTATGATTTCTTTGTTTAGATTTTTGTATTCTAACATCAGATATCAACGGGCCTTGTCTTTCTTCAGGTTAGTCAAAAACGATGAAGCAGAACAAGAGCTGGAAAGGTGAACCATGGCAGTGTTTGCCATCAGTTAGAAGGAGGACCCTCTTTATCAAACATGTGATGCCGGCAGCACTTTTGAAGGTGTGGGTGTCCTCAATGAACTGCCATCACTTGGTACATCACATGCTATTTGGTCTGATCTATGCCCTAAAACTCAGCTATCTTATGAATTGAAACACATCTTTGGTGCACTACACAAAGTTTTCATTGAGATAAAAAATGAAGACATTGGCATGCAGAGTCTACAGATTGAACTTTAAGCTCAACACAAAAGAGTGAACAAGGAAAGTCATCTGGATATGGAATACTCTCTTGATTTACAGCTTGTGAATTGATACATTTCAGGAGAATGGAAAGAAAGGTTGGTAAATATAAAATAGTTGCTTTTCAATTATAATATTGCTGTTATCTTTGCACCACTGGTTAAAGTGTGAAAACAAATTTGCAAAGACAAAAACAATGTTTATTTGTTCTTCTTGGGATTTCTAGGGACATAACTAAAAGAAAATCTTTTTTTTTTTGCAGAAGAATGGAGTCAGATTTAACATTACTTCAAAATTCTTACCTACAAAATAATCTTATCTTCTTATTATTATGTTCTAACCTTTCCTTGACTGATGCTTGGCATTTTTTTCAACCACTCTAGTAAAAAATTGACATGATGTAATGACAATCATTCCCTAAAATCTAGAAATGACTTATTTCTAATTCCAGCCTCTTCCCTACATGATAACCATCTTAATGCATCTTTAACTGATCAATTTGAAATTAGCTGCTATCCAAAAATGCTCTAGTATCAGATGTTATTGGAAATTTAACCATTCTCTATTAAAAGACAAATTATCAACACCTTTAAAATCAACTGGCTAAAAGAATCTCTTCTAAACCCTGATTCAGTCTAGTTTTTCATCTTAAATCATATATTTAATGCAATTGGAGGCTTATCTTCCTTTTGAAATGTAACATTTTACATAATAAATTACCCATCAAATTGTCTGTTTGTTTCTTCTTCTTTAATTCAAGTTTCAATAGTTTCTAAAACAAAAGGGCAATTTCAAGACAGCTGACATTAGTTTTGATTCATATATATATAACAGCATTTTCATAACAAGTGAAGGTGACAGATACTTTATTTTGGTAAATAATTGAACTATATGCCTGAAAAACACATAACACTGGCCCTTTAGTTTGTAACATTGAATAAAATTGTAACTTGAGATAATGTAAAAAAATAGTTGTAACAAAATTACATCAATTTAATTAAGTTATTCCAAATTACAACTATATATATAATACATATACATTATACATTAATATAATGGTAAATATTAGGTTCAATGAAACTGAAAAAGTTAATTTCTAACAAAGGAAAAAAAAGTGGTTTATGATAAATACAAAAAAAATTCACTTTGAATGAATGTAAATTTTTGCTTTTGTTTGATATTAACTTATTTTTTATTTCAACCAAGTCATACATTCATTTTGAGATAAACTAATAAAATTAGGTGTAACATCTTGCATCATATTTTTAAGTGGATCTGAAGTTTTTTTTCTTTCAGTGTACACAAACACAGCCAAAAAAGGTGGTAGTAACTAAAACTTTTAGAGAATGTGGTGGAGTAAAAAGTATGATTTTATTGTTAAAATGCAGTGAAGTAAAAAAAAATGTTACTCAAGTAAAGTATTCTAAAGTATTCAAATTCTAAAAAAATCTGTACTCAAGAAACTTTACTTCATTACTGCCCATCTCTGGAAGTATCAGAGAAGAGGCTGACTAGTGTGCAGGACAGCCAACAAGCATAAAGCCCCATTAAAACAACCCCTCTCAGTTGAAGGCTTCATCTCAGCAGCTCCTGTTTGACAGCTCGGAGCAGAGCAGCGATCGGATGGGCAGACCACAGCAGCTGGTCATCAGTTAACTGTCAGGGCTTATAATACGCCGGCGGTGGCAATACCAACCACTGAGAGCAACTGAGGATAGATGGCGACAGTTATGGCCATCTGCATGCAGCACAGTTTACAATCACTGGCACTTGGAGAAGCCTGAACACAGTGCATTCGCTCTTTTTGGATGAGTACTATAGAAACAAAGTCAGATTGAGACATGCCTTTGGAATATTTTCTAAATGACCATGTCCAAAAAGAAGCTGGCACATAAATGGTTTGGGCACAAGTGCAACAGTGCTGAGAGAGTTTTGGATGAGCAGCAACTGAGCTTAAGAGCTGTTTGATGCTCTGACTGAGCGTGGATACCGTGACCATAGAAACAACAGTAAAGGTACACAATTGTCTCTCTGAGGCCAGTGACTTGGGATCAACAATTTATGTTCACAACTCCTTTAGACACACAAAATTAACCATTTACGGATCAAAAAAGAGTTAAATTTACTGATTAAATCAAATTTTCATTAAACCAAGGAAAATAAATTTGATTGTATTGTTATGCTTGTGTTCTATTAATATTAAACTTTGAAAAAGCACTGAATATTTATCTGATTTGATAAAAAAGGGGATGTTTAGAGAAGATAAAACAAATTTCAAAATAGGTAACAATTACATTAAGTTTAGTTGACTATCTTATTCTGAAATGGCATGTGAGTGAGGTCATTCAAAAAGGTTGAATGGGATATTATTTATTTATTTATTTATTTATTTATTTATTTATTTATTTATTTATTTAATTAATTAATTAATTAATTAATTTATTTATTTTATGGTTGTCATTTTTTTATTAAACCAGGGTTTATAGAAAGTACAGAGAGGACAGAGGAAAAGCAAAAGAGAAAAAAACTGGATGGACTTTTTATGTTAGAAAATGACCTCCTAATCTACAGCAGGTCATCCTGATATTGGAGCAGAATTTGTCTTCAGGAAAAAAAAAAAAGGAAAAAAAGCTAATCTGGTGACAGATTTATTATTTATTTTCTTGTATAATAAGGAGTTGCTATCCCAAATAAAAAGATAGTCTGTGAAAACTGTAAGTAATAAGGGTCAACATTTTACATAGTTGGGAGTAATATGAATCTTTGTTTTTGGAAACTCTGCCTCTGCTTTCACACGAGTATTAACTCATAGCTTCTTGCAACAACTCTTTAAAATATTTCAAAGAAAGACTTTAGCTTTTTAGGCAAAATTTGTTCTTTTGGACAACAAACACAACATTGGGTGCATCTTGGACAGCTCACCGAAACATCACAAAACAACACACCATGAATACTCTTTACTAATTTGGCCTGCAGAATTTTGGTCTGAGAGAAAAAAAAAAAAAAATAAATAAATAGTCAAGATCCAACCGGCAAATAGGGAAGATGTAATGTAGAACTTTTTACATTTACTACATTATATGTACAGTAAAAATGTGTAAGACCTCATTTTGTAACAACTCATTAAGTAATAATGTAATAAAATCAGGCTTCAAAATGTAATAAACTCACACTAAAACTGCATTATGTAATAATTGACGCAAAATGTAATAGAAGTCTTCAACGGATTTGCAATATTCGCAGCCAAATTATGTAATAACGTTATTACATTTCGTGGCAATTGTTACCGTATGTGGTGGGGTAATAATCTGGTGCATTATGTAATAAACAATCAAAAACAGTATTTATATTCATCCTAATCAATATACTTGTAATAACTGTCATGTTGCAAATACTACATATTTAAATCTTTATAACTTTGGTCAATAAACACCAAACTTCTCATCTTTTATTTGCATTTTCAGACAAATTCTTGCGTATTATTCTAAAAGTCGTTCAATGCAGAATGATCAAGACGTAAAACTTTTTTTTCCAACACATTGGCTTTCAGAAAAATGAAAATCTATGCTTTAAAAAGCAAAATGGATAATGTTTCTGTTGCTATTAAATGAAAGAAGCATATGATCCAACATGCAAACAGAATCCCAACAATTTCCTGGACTTAATTAATGTGTAATACTAGTCAACCTCTTGTAATTAAAAAGGAACACATTAAACTATATAAACAAAGTTGTCTTACACAGAGCAGTGCAAGGGTTTCCACTAGTTCAAGGACAAAATCACAAACTTATGGGGACTACTCTTTTTCACATTGTCAAAACAAGCAGAAGTAGCCCAAACACACACCAACACAGATGTGAACCACATTGAACTCATACCTCTTCCTCTGTGCTGTCTCCAGAGTTGTTTTTTTCACAGTGAGCTCTAGAGCACCCAGATGGCGAAAGCGGCGTTTGCGACAGGGAGCCACATCTGTGATGTCTCGTAGACCTTCTCCCAAAGGGCTTGGACTAGAAGATACTGAGGAGAGTGTAATAATGTGTTGAATCAGTATTCAAAAACTGCACCTTTGAAAAAAAATCAAGTTTAGATTAAACAATTTCTTTACGAAGAGACTCTGGAAACCATTATGACAAAGTCTCTGCTTTTAAAACAACTAGAAACAAATTCAGTCTGTAGATGAGTTTAAAACCATTTTCCAGCAGAAAATAGACCTCATTCATTGCATATATAACATTTGGCTTTTTAGTTAGAAATTGGTATAATGTTTTATATAACTGATGAAACTACTTTAGCTCAAAACCACATACTGTATACAAGGGAAATTATTAAAAACCATAACTGTCAAAATGAGGCTTAGTTGCTATTTTCTGTGCCTAAATAAAGTATTCATATTTCTATCACTATGTTCTTCATTTTAGCCATTTGTGTACCAATCTCTGTTACATCACCTTGTGAGGTAATATTGAGTCTGTCAGACTGATGGCATTAATCAGTTAGCTGGTTTATTTGCCTCTGTACTCAGTCTGCAGAAGGCTGCTTATTTTGGCAAGTCACACTTTGTTTTGTAGCTTTGTTCAAAATAGCTTATTCTAAAAAAATGGGTGTTGCGCCATAGAGGAGAAATCCTATAAGAACTGCCCTCTTTAGTAGCCATGGCTGCTTATGTTTTCTTTTTCTTGAAGACTTTCCATACAGCAAACTTTGTTTCAAGTGGAGACATGTTCAGGGGGTTCCCCTGATTTCATTCCTGATTTCCTTATAGCTAACAGCTTACAACTATTTGAGGAGGGGGACTGTTAGACTACACACAGCTTGAGAAATCCCTGCTCTGTCTGTCTGTGTAAAGTCACTAAAAACAGCTCAAACCACAGAAACAAGAACATGGAAAAGGCTGGTGGCTATGACACCATGATGTTTAAAAATTGTGGTATACTTTAAGACCAAAAACTGCTCCATGCCTTGGACATTATAACACTGTCCACACAAATATTATTTGTCTTTTAATGTAAGTTTATTTACCAAGACAAATCTCACTGAAATCACAAATCTCTTTTGCAAGGGAGGCCTGGGCCTGAAGGTAACCTAACATGAATGTTTTTGTATGCGAGAGGAAACCAGAGAACCTGCAGAAAATTCATACAAGCACAAGAAAAACATGAAAACTCCACACAGAAAGACCCTGGATCCTAACAGAGTATGGAACACAGGACCTTTCCGCTGCGTGACATCAGTGCTAACCACTAAGTCATTATTCTGAACTGTTTTCCACTAATATTTAAAGTATCATGCATTAGTTAATTCATCTTCGTATTTGTCTAAAGTGAATCCTTTCAAAATCTAAAGGCTCTGTTGCACTAAGGTTTCAATCAACTTGTGCTGAAGATCACTTATTTGATGTCTAGTAATTGTTACAAAACGCTTTAACATGCTATGCATGAGTTTGGCATGTTACACTAAGCTCTGCATTAGTCAAAACTGCTGTCATCCACTTGAATAAGGCTATGTTTACACTGCAAGTCCTAATACTCAAATAAAATCTTTTGCAGAATTACAATTTTTTGGTGGTGACGTTAACATTATTACCTCTGCCAAGGAGGTTATGTTTTCGGTCACGTCCATCCATACGTACGTACATACGTCCGTTGACACAATTACTCAAGAACTTATGGGCGGATTTTCATGAAATTTTTTACCACAGGTGGATATTGGCCAAAGGAACACACCATTAAATTTTGGTGATGATCCGGATCATGATTCGGATCCAGGAATTTTTTTGAAGGATTCTTCAGGATAGGGGAAACTGGCCTTGGTGGAGGTTTGCACTTTCCGAGTGCTTCTAGTGTTTTAAATGTGACCTTCTAAACACTTGGATTGACCTGCTCACACCCACCTCGTTGAAGTAAAATTCAGATGAAATGTGACATCAGCGTTCAAACTTAGGTCGCTTTGAAAAACATAAAATATGTGTTTGATTTAGTACCATGTAATGAAAAGGCCCGAGTTGGATTTGAAAATAAAAAATGGATTTGACATAATCAGACTGTCAGAAAAAAATGTAATATAGGTCACATGGGGCAAAATCATTGGATTTGGGTCACATTTTCCTGCAGTGTGAACATAGCCTAAGTTATAAATAAGCTAGAGACACAATATGGAGAAGTTATTCATTCGTTAAACACAGATATATATATCCATTCTGCTTGTAAACAATATGGTATGTATGTGTGTATGTATGAGGGTTTCGCTTGATCTTTTTATTTCATCATTAGCGTAGCGTAGGAAAAGATTTTCATATGTTGGCATTTCCTGTCTAAAACGTTAGTGTGATGCTTGCCAAAACTGAAAGTTTTGGTAGTATTTTGATGTATGCATTTATCATTTGTTCATCTACTAGATCAGAAACAGTGACTAGAAGTGAACAGAGTCTATCCAACCTTTAATTCACAAAAACGTGTGTCTATCTAGATCATTTTATACATATTAATTTATTGATTTATCCAATATTTAACAAATAGACTACTGCATATCAGTCCACTTAAGCAGTAGTCTTTCCAAAACTTGGTCTAATATTCACTTGTCCAAACATTTAAGTATATATGAATAAAATAGTAATGTATTTATCATGTTTATGTTTAATATTCACTGTCACCATTCTTCATTTATAAATAATTTGATCAAATATTTTCATCAATTCACTCATTTGGTTATCTAAAGTATATTCCCCCGTGTATAATTACACTGATCCACCTGGTCAACTCGCTGCTGTTGTATCTCTGAGCGATCGAGCAAGGTAGTAAAAGAGACATAACAGTCAACAAATGAAAGGGTAGACCAGATTCACAGTAGTGCAATGGTCTGTCTGACCTGCCAGCTACATTTTCTGCATAGTGCTACAGGCAGCTTAAAGTGGAGCTTGTCTTTGTAACCATATTGAAGAAGTGTTTTGTGAAAGAGGTATGTGACAAAGTTCATCAACTAGTAATCTTTAATCGTCACGGGTCGCCAAGGTGAACTGTGATCAAACAGAAACAAAAGAAACTAAATAAAAGAAATGTCTTTGCTGTTTTCTGTGTGGGAACCTCAGAAGTTCTGTTCACATTTACTTGGTTATTTTGTGGTTTGTTGTAAATTTCACCAGTGGATGGCAGCTGTTTCTACAGAAACTACAAAAAACCTAACTTGTTTACACATTAAATAAAAACTTAAACTCCTCACTATGCCTGTTCCCCTCCTTTTCTCTAACTGCATAACAGCCATGGCAACAGAAATAACAATCCCACCTAGTTCAACGCATCATTTGGAGAAGCAAACCCATCAGGAGCATGTGAGGCTCCATAAAAGCCTCGACGTATCAGAAGAACATAACCTGCTGGTTTGCTGTTAGCGAATGGAAACGTATGACACATTACCGGCTGAGAGAGGGACAAAAACATGTTTCTCTCTGCTGTATGAAAGGGAACTTATGTTTCACATATAAACGCCACACATTTTTCCCCATATTGAAGGCACATGAGTCATACCCAGGCAGACTGGGAGTGAAAGTCTGGAGGTAGATGAAGTGTAATGTCAACTTTAGTAGCTGTTTGTATTTAAAGTTGCTTTGGTATGATGGCTCACAGAGGAGGCCCCACTCTGTGTATTTTGCAACTCCTCAGTGATGTCATGAACCCATGGGTTAAAAAAAAGCAGTGTCTCTAAAAGAGAGCAAATGCACAGAGTTTCCATAGTAGCACAATAAAAATATATCATATTTACAATCAGAACAGATTAAATCAATGAAGTTTTGATGGGAAAAAACACATCCCCTGGATGACATGGAGTGACCTACTTCACTGCCTAACAAATGACCCGTTGAAAGGTTTTGAAAAAGGAATATCTTATCTATAGAAAGTTTTGAGAATGGTCTAAGTTGGGAGAAACAGAACTTATGATGAGCAAATTGCTAGTCTGAATGCAGCCAGGTCCGCAGTGGATCTGCGCAATCTTTTAAACAGCTCCAGTCTCAAAGGTTTTACAGCAAGAAACAATATGAAGTTCTGAAGACTGGTGTTGTTTTAACAAGGCTGAATCCACTTCGGTAGTGCGTCTGTTTAAACAAGCCATAATTAGCTCATTAATACAGTTTGAACAAATCTACCCCAATGCCATTTCAAAACAACTTCAGCTTTTTTTTTCATAGTGATTCTTGGAAACTCTACTTTTAAAACCTTTACATTGCTGTCAATTGAACATTGCATGGTTATTTTGGCAGAAACATAAGATTTCTGATGAAAATGACCCCAGGCTGCATTGGAAACAAGATGCTGCTAAAATAAAGAGCAGCTTCTAGAGGACTTGTGCCCATACTGATATGTGTATAAGGGCATGTAGGGTTGTTTATATGGTAATATCATCCCTACAAAATGAAAACTGTTTTGCGCCAGAGTGGTTTCAATTCAACAACATGCATGTTAGGCTGCCTTCAGGCCCAGGCCTCCCTTGCAGATGTGTTTTCTCAGTAAGATTTGCCTGGTCATATAATAAAAAAGTAAAAAAAATTGAATGTACTCAACCCCTGAGTACAAAATAGTAACTGCTTTGTACAAAACTATACCTGCTGAGTACTAGGTGGCAGAAATACAATTCATTTTGAAGTATTTATTTCACTCTTAAAATTAAAAAGTCAACTATTTAAATACAAAACTGACAGCCTACAATTTGTCTCAATGATTTTTTTTAATCTATTTGTATTATTCCAGTGTGTTTTTGGAAGACTGTGAAGGCACTCGGTGTGAACAATCTCACCCTGAAATGATTCATTAGAAGCAGCTGTTGACTGCTGCACTTCCTCTGGCTCTTCATCTGTGCTGCCTCCGTATTCATCCTGCTCAGCCTCATCCTCCAGACCGGCTGCTTGGTCTGACTTTACAGACTTTCTGTTCTTCTGTCCGTCAGAACTCCTAGAGGAGAAACCACACCTGAATACAACAACAATTTCAACAAAAAGAATCTGATGAGTTAGAGCAGTGGTTCCCAACCCTGGTCTTAGAGGCACACTATCCTGCATGTTTTAGACGTTTCCCTGCTCTTCAGCGTGTCTTCACAAGCTTGTTATTCATACAAATCAGGTGTGTCAAAGCAGGGAAACATCTAAAGTATTAAGGATAGGGGGCCTCAAAGACCAGGGTTGGGAACCACTACTTAGAAGACTGCTGTAAATCAAAGATGTCAATTAAGCATCTAAAGCTCCTTTTCAGTTGTTACCTTTAAGAAAATGTCTGATGAAATTCTACTTGAACCACTTCAAAACGCTTCAGCATTTCAGAATGTTAGGTTTGGGAGGTTACTGTAAATCCATAAAACCAAAAGATACTGTATGAACAAAGTACCTTGTTTCCTGCAGGGTTGTGAGAGTTTCCTGCAGACTGCGGATCTTTGCTTTCTTCTCATTGAGGACCAGGACAAAACGAGAATAGAGCTCTGCTTCCAGGGTCTCTTTGCCTTCAATGTAATGCTTCAACCTGAAATACACACACACACATTTGTATTTCTATCCTTATTGGGACCAATCAGTGACTTCCATTCATTTCCAGTAATTTCTACAGCCTAACCCTGACCAATTTACCCTAAACTAACCTCAAAGGTACCCACCTGACCCTAAAACTAACTAAACTCAATCACCACCTTAGTCCTAAACCAATCCCCTGACCCACAAATGGAGTTTCACCATATTAGGACCGGTCTTTGGTCCCCATTAGGACTACTGGTTCTAACAAGGTAGGTGTGTATACCAGAAATGGTCCTAAAAAAAGGTAAAGTGGGGAGAACAAGTATTTGATACGCTGTTGATTTTTCAGGTTTTCCCACTTGCAAAGCTTGTAGAAGACTGTAATTTTTATCGTAGGTACTCTTCAACTGTGAGTGATGGAATCTAAAACAAAAATCCAGAAAAATACAATGTATGATTTTTAAATAACTAATTTCCATTTTATTGTGTGAAATAAGTATTTGATCATCTATCAACCGGTAAGAATTTTGGCTCTCACAGACATGTTCTTCTTTAAGAAGCCCTCCTGTTCTCCACTCATTATCTGTATTAACTGTACCTGTTTGAACTCATTACCTGTATAAAAGACACCTGTCCACACACTCAATCAATCAGACTCCAGCATCTCCACAATGCCCAAGACCAGAGAGCTGTGTAAGGAGATCAGGGATAAAATTGTAGACCTGCACAAGGCTGGGATGGGCTACAGGACAATAGGCAAGCAGCTTGGTGAGAAGGCAACAACAGTTGGTGCAATTATTAGAAAATGGAAGAAATACAAAATAACGGAAAATCTCCCTCGGTCTGGGBYRCCATGCAAGATCTCACCTCGTGGAGCATCATTGATCTTGAGGAAGGTGAGGAATGAGCCCAGAACTACACGGCAGGACCTGGTCAATGACCTGAATAGAGGTGGGACCACAGTCTCAAAGAAAACAATTAATAACACTCTACGCCGTCAAGGATTAAAATCCTGCAGTGCACGCAAGGTGCCCTTCCTCAAGCCAACGCATGTCAAAGCCCGTCTGATGTTTGTAAATGACCATCTGAATGATCCAGAGGAGGAATGGGAGAAGGTCATGTGGTCTGATGAGACAAAAATAGAACTTTTTTGGTTTAAACTCCACTCGTCATGTTTGGAGGAAGAAGAATGATGAGTACAACCCCAAGAACACCATCCCAACCGTGAAGCATGGCGGTGGAAACATCATTCTTTGGGGATGCTTTTCTGCAAAGGGGACAGGACGACTGCACCATATTGTGGGAAGGATGGATGGGGCCATGTATCGTGAAATTTTGGCCAACAACCTCCTTCCCTCAGTAAGAGCACTGAAAATGGGTCGTGGCTGGGTCTTCCAGCATGATAACGACCCAAAACACACAGCCAGGGCAACTAAAGAGTGGCTCTGTAGGAAACATCTTAAGGTCCTGGAGTGGCCTTGCCAGTCTCCAGACCTGAATCCAATAGAAAATCTTTGGAGGGAGCTTAAAGTCCGTGTGGCCCAGCGACAGCCCCGAAACCTGAAGGCTCTGGAGGAGATCTGTATGGAGGAGTGGGCCAAAATCCCTGCTGCAGTGTGTGCAAACCTGGTCAAGAACTACAGGAAACGTCTGATCTCTGTAATTGCAAACAAAAGTTTCTGTACCAAATATTAWGTTTCATTTTTCTGGTGTATCAAATACTTATTTCACACAATAAAATGGAAATTAATTATTTAAAAATCATACATTGTATTTTTCTAGATTTTTGTTTTAGATTCCATCACTCACAGTTGAAGAGTACCTATGATAAAAATTACAGTCATCTACAAGCTTTGCAAGTGGGAAAACGTGAAAAATCAACAGTGTATCAAATACTTGTTCTCCCCACTGTAATAAAAACAAGTACACACACAAACACATTCACACATTCATTCACGTCAGCTGTTTTTTTTTTTCCTTTTTTTTTTTGTTCACTGAAAAATAAATTTGAACTTTGGAAGGTATTTTGTTACTAACACAGTGTCGTTCATAGTTCTGAGAGCTGTATTTGTTTGTCTTATAAAGAAACAAGGAAAAAAACAGAAAAAAATCATTCAAAGTCAACTGGAAATGTCGACATTTTCATCTTCAATATGTAACAAGAAGAGGAAGCATGACAAGTAAACTTTATTCTATGGTGATTGTAGTTGAAGGACTCCAGTTTCTTCCCACAAACCAAAAACATTAATGTTAGTTTAATTGGTAACTTCAAATTGTCCAGAGGTGAGAGTGACAGGGTGAATGGTATTTGTCACATTTGTCTTTATGTGGCCCTGTGATGGACTTTCAACCTGTCCCAGGTGTACCCCACCCCTCGAACAGTGACTGCTGGTTATGGGCACCAGTAACCCCCATGACCCTGACATCATATGCCAACCCTGCTGTTAAAGGGACCAAAAGTAATTGGACAACTGATTCAAAAGCTATTTCATGGGCAGGTGGGGGCAATTCCTTTGTTATAACATTTTCAATTAAGCAGATAAAAGGCCTGGAATTTAATTCAAGGTGTTGTGCTTTTTGGAAGATTTTGCTGTGAAGAAAACATGTGGTCAAAGGAACTCTCAATGCAGATGAAACAAGCTTAACCGAAAAAGAAGAAAAAATACAAATTGCTACAGCGTTAGGAGTGGCGAAATCTAGTTTGGTACATCCTCAGAAAGAAAGCATTGATGAATGAAAAAAGACACCCACAGAATAAAATGGCGGTGATGATAGCAGACTTAAAATAGATGAACATCTAGCTTTTGTTTTCAAGTACTAAAAGAATACTGACTTTGCTTCTTTAGAAAAGAAAGTATCTAAAATATTTATTTTATTTTTGCAAATTTGTAGAGTCTGTCAAACAGCTTGTGAAAGATTCCACTAGCAATTGGCCCTTGTCAAAATTTAATCCAAGATTTCTTCAATAGTGGCTCCCTCTTCATGTCGTCATGCATCTCAGAAATCCATGTAGAAAAAAAAGGTTATGTGGGTCCTCTGGACTGGTTCTTCTTTAAGAGAATGTTTTGTCTCTTCTCCAAGAGACTTCTTTGGTTTGTGGAGTTAAGCTCAGTCTTATAAGCAATGTTTCCACATGGTGGATAAACTAGTTTAACAATGACAATTAAAACTGTTTGTTCACATGCAAAAGATGACCCTCGGCCTAACAATAGATTGTGAGTGCCCTGATTAACTCTATTGTTCATAGAGGACCATCACCACCATAGGCCTGATGACCGTTAGTGCCCTAATTACACTCATCTGGCCAGTGGTCACTTTCAGAGATGAAGATGTTCTCAACCTTGATAGAAAAGAACGTTGGTTTGAGAGAGAATGGAAGCTGTTTATGAAGAAAACCCATCCATCATTAATCAGAAGTGGAGGCCTCCATGTCCAGTTGTCCCCTTCTGGCTGTTATTGCGAGTATGACTCAGCCCTCTGTGAACAATTGGTGATAATCACTCCAAAGTGCTTCACACTTCAGTCATTCACCCATTCATACACACATTCACACACTGATGGTGGTAAGCTACATTGCAGCCACAGCTGCCCTGGGGCACACTGACAGATTGATTCATTATAGTAATATAAATACATAAAACATCCAAGGGGTAAATTGTTTTTATAGTCACTGTAATTTGCCTTTTTGTGTGTGTTCTTACTTTGCAGCAATGCGTTGGTGTTCTTGGCATAGCCTTCGGTTCTCCTCTCTCAATTTGTGGTTTGTCGTGTGCAGAGTGTTTCCTCGTTGTAAACTGTGAATCAGAACCTCCCTCACTGCCTCCACCGGCTCCGTGACAGCCGTCAGAACGACGCAGCCCAGCCTGAACTGTTGAAGACAAACACATTATTTTATTTATTAGTCTTTTTGAACCAGAGATCCCCAGTATTGTTGTTAGGGCTTTTACTAATGCCTTCATTCTGCACAAGACAGAATGATTATGTTGTTAGCTTTGTTTGTGAACAAAATATTATATTTTCAGAATGCCAAATAAAAACTGTCAACATATTATTTCACTTGCGTTCCTCAAACGCCTTGACCTGTTTGACAAAACTTTTCTAGTTATTTATACAAAGAATTCACTCTTGCAATCATTAACAAGAAAAAATTAACCACTCAGAGGGGATTTTATTCACATATTTTTTTTTAATTTAACTTTTATTTATTCAGGTAGATCTCATTGAAATTAAAAATCTCTTTTTCAAAACAGACCTGGCCAAGAATGGCAGCAGCACACAAACATTGTAAAATTCAAAACGACAAATATTAAACTACAATCCAGGGTTTCCCCTAGATGTAACTGATTGTGAAGCTCTGCCACGGCAAAATATAAGCTGCCACAGCTTCAGAATTATTATTATTATTTTTTTAGTCAACATAAAACAGGGGTTGACACAACCATTGTTTAGGTTGTCCGAGACAACCTATTTTCGTTTCGGACAACCAGATCCCACCTACAGGTTGTCTGGTGGACAACCAAGAAAAAAGACCTAGATTAAAGTTTTACGCCACGGGTGTTCGTCATTGTAAAAATAAATGGGAGAAAAAAAACTTGTTAAAGCCACCTAGGGAATAAACTGACTGTTCTTTCATTCAATAAAGAGAACCACAGTCAAAGTTTTACCCAATCAGAACAGAGCAGGGCGGGTTATGGTGTCTGACTGACAGCGCTGCCTTTTTTTCCTTTCTCTGTGGGTGGGTGGGGGTCAGCTTCACTCAGCTCAGGTGAACACCTCCCGGGAAAGCCTTCAGCGTTTCCTGGACTATTTTCCACTGAGGTTTACGTTGTATTTTATTTATATATTATATTTCTAAAAGGACCTCGCAGCATTTCCCCTGTAACACTGTGTGTTCACGAGCACAACAAAACCGTGACAGATCACCTGACTGTTTTTAAAGCGAGKGGCAGCGACTGCAGCTGCTGCAGTCCTCCACGCACATTGCGGCTCCGACCTGCCTGGGACTTAAGAGCCCATACATGTCAACCCCTTCAGACGTTTAACTTGTATAATGAGCATCAAAAATCTGTAATGTGCACAAAAAAATCAGTATTAGTCATACGGGAGTGGGGTGGGGTTGCAAGCGGACCGCAGCTGTGTGGGGTGGGTGGGGGGTGTCTTTTAAAGAAGTGTCTACTTTTGACTTTCATTTTTTTCTAAAATCACTGTTTTCTGAGTCAGCTTCAGGTGCTTGTAGTTAATCATGAATATCTTCTAAATTTAACCAGGTGTTTCAATGCCTTTAAATTACACACAAATTTTAGTGGAGAAACTTGTCAGTTTGGTTAAAAGAAAACAGGAAAAATAAATTGTTTTCTTTTCTGTGCAGAGACCTTCCTGTGCATATATCAAAGCTCCTCAGTTGAAAACACTAAAATGATAGAAGAGATGTTTAAAAACCTCTTTCCTCAGAAAGTCTTCAGTCCTAAAAACACTAAATTGTAACTTTTATGAGGTCATGTACACAGCATACTCCTATTTAAATGAAAATGTTTGATCTGTGCGTAGAAAGCTTATTGGATGTTATTGGAAGCACATTGGATGTTGGATGTTGATTTTTGGTCTCTATTTCAAAGAAGAGGATGAGAAGGAGGAGGAAGTTTTATTCAAGTAGCTCATGAAACTGTCAACCTGGCTGACTGAGAACATTTGCATATAGTAAACTTTGTATACAGAACAATATCGCTTACCTATTAAATTACATTTTTATTGAGATTTTTTTGGACAACCAAAATGTTTTGCGGAAAACCAGATTTTGTCAACCTGTTAACACCCCCCCCCACACACACACACACACACACACAAGAGGCCACCACCACGGTTAAAATAAAATCCTAGGGGAAACCCTGCAATCAAATACATCAAATAAAAGAAAAACAAGAAACACTCATAAAAAGGTAAGGTAGGACTAAAATAGATCCAAAGATGCTGACCAAAAACGAATAAATAAAATTTTAGTTTAATTTGCAAAGAATTAGCACCAGTGGGCATAAGTGATGATCTCACAAGACAAGTAGAAGTTATTCTAAACTGTGAGTAAACTTCACCAAACGTAGATATATTAAGCAGAGTTACCTGAACTCAGTGAAGTTCGTAAAGAAACACATTGTGGGTTTGAATGAGGCTTGGTGACTATATCAAGGAACTGCCCAGGATGTGAGGCTTACAAATTTACATCAGCCCAGTGTTGGAACCAATGGGTGCATGAGGGCACTCATACACATTATGAAGATTTGACCCAAGACAAGATGTACCAAGAGACGATTGCTGTATTGCACTGCACAACTCTATGACATCAGCGCCTGACATCGAGACACATGTATTTGAGTTTATTCAACAACCGTGGCAAAAAAAAATCTAAAGCTGGCATTTTGTGGAGCTATACTGTATATTGGCATTACTCCTAGTGTGTCTATATTGGCTCTGTCATGGACTGATTATCTGTCAAAGGTGTTTGCTGCCTCTAAACCCATTGAATGCTGGGCTAGTTACAATTAAAATTTGTATTAATTTTTTATTTTTAGATTATTATTTTTTTATTATTAGACCTTTATTTCACCAGGAAAATCCCACTGAAATTAAGGATCTATTTTGCACTGGAATCCTGGCCAAGACTGGCAGCAGTACACAGAGGTTACAGAGTTCACAGCAAAAACAGAAAAAGTTTACACCATCATAGATAGGTTAAGTAAAGGTTTCCTCAGTTTACAGAAAGATTATACCTTCCAAAAATCAGTAAGAACAGCCATAAAAACATTTAGTGATGACAGCACATTTAGGTTCATGTATCTCTGCAACTGGTTCCAAGAAGATGGAGCAGAAAATTGAAAATATTTCTTTCCAAGTTTAGTTTGAACTTTAGACAAGTCAGTCAGAAAGTAAAAATAAATTCTCACAACAAAAAGAATATCCTCCAGTGGACTTTCTATTTATATAGGCCAACAAATATGATGGAAGATATCCTAATATGGCCTTATAAATAAAAATATGCCAATGACGAAGTCTCCGAGTGTCCATGGCAATCTATCCAACCCGTTTGTATGATGTGCAGTGATGTGTAAAGGCTTTTAAAACTGTTATAAATCTTAGAGCTCCATGATAAACAGAATCCAGCAAATAAATAAATTTAAGGGAAGCATGCATGAATAAAATACCCCCATAGTCCAGTACACACATTAACGTTGCCTTAACCAGTCATTGTCTATCCTCAAAAAATAGACATGATCTAATTCTAAAATAAAATCCAAATTTTAATCTCATCTTCTTCACTAGCTGTTGAGTAAGGGAAGTAAATTACAAATTTATAAATTTTTATTTTAATCTATAAATTTCTTTAGAGATTACAATAAATCACAGATAAAAGGGTGGATGGATATAAAAATGATAACTGAAACATACTTTCAAATATATAAAAAAATTCTCTAAATAAATGAAAATGAGTATGGATGACTATAAAACTACTTGAAAATGTTTATGGCTTAGTTGCTGTATGCCATTTTTGTTTTCAAATAGGACTTTTAAGGGCTACTATCTATTTATCATAGACAATGGTTGGGGGAAAAGTAGTGCATGTGCAAAATATAATATATGCCTCAAGATTCTTATGTTTACTGACATGTTATGCTTGAGACATTTGCCCCTAAAACAATAGACTTGTTTATGACGCACATCTGCTTTAAAAAAAGACCTAAACAGAGGATGTTGGGGAACTATTTATTGTGCAACTGTTGATGTTGGAGAAAAGAAGCCCTGTGTTTCTAAAAATAAACCAGAGATCAATTACAGCATCTTGTGTGTGGGTGTTCTGTCTCCCTCTGCAGAGGTTTTATTCAGGACGAAGCCTATCCAACTGACAGACAACATTGGAAATTATTTTTTCCATGACACATTGGCAATGTGAGCTGTGTGCCTCGAGTGGCTGTTGGGAATGGGGTGGCCAGTGGCTGTTCGTGCTGGGATAGAATTTTCCAGCCTCTGAAACCTTGACCCCAAAGACGGAAGTACTGACCACCTGGGTCCTTAACCATTGCTGAGACCCCACGAAGCATTGCTTTTCAAAGTCCAGGTGAAACTGATCCATAGCAAGACAAAGCCAAGTTGAAGAAAGAATGAATGCCCCTTGTCTCAGATCCTGCTTATAATGTTTACGGACAGGATCTCATGGTGTAGTTGTGGAGAGGAAGGTGTCTGCTTTGGGAACCACAGGGTCCCATCTCTGTTTTATGAAAATTATGTATGTGACTGGGGTGGTTCGCAGCTGAGTGTGAAGCAGCTGTGATGAGAATCAGTTTCTCTAATCTGAGGCCATGGTGCTCAACCGGAAAAAGATGAAATGCACCCTCCAGGTCGGGTGGAGAGTCTCTACCTCAAGTGGAGGAGTTTAAGTGTCTGGGTGTCTTGTTCAAGAGTGATGGTAGGATGGAGTGGGAGATGGATCAACAGAATGGGGCCTTGTCCAAAGGTAATGAGGGTGTTGTTTTGGTTGGTCGTGGTGAAGAAAGAGCTGAATTGAACGACAGAGCTCTCAGTTTATTGGTCTGTTTACATTTCAACACTCTTTCAGTCAAAATCCAGACCACATGACGATATAGGGTCATGAGGTGTGGATCATGACCTAAAGAACATGATCCCAGTTACAAGCAGACAAAATGAGCTTCCTCCGTAAGGTAGCCAAGCTCAACCTTAGAGATAGAGTTATTAGCTCCATCATCTGGGAGAAGGTCAGAGCAGAGCTGCTGCTCCTCCACATCAAACAGAATCAGTTGAGGTGGTTCGGGCATCTGATGAGGATGCCTCTTGGTTGTCTCCCTTTAGAGGGGTTTCAGGCAT